TACTCTTGAGTACTTTTAAAAAGTCTACCTTTTACTCATTTTGAGTAATGTTTGCAACATGCTTTTACTCTAACTACATTTTTGGGCAAGTAATAGTACATTACTTGAGTATGATTATTCAGTACTCTTTCCACCATTGGCTGTTTATTGTACAGTATGCACTTCCCTGTAATGTTCTGCATCACCAGTTGAGGTCTCGGTGTCCTATTCTGTCCAATAAAATAGCACATAGAAAGTAAATTGCATCATACTGAACTACATTAAGACATGGGCGCTATATACTGTAAATGCAGCAAACTGTTTCAAAGCATTAAAAGTGTCCAAGAAGATGTCCAAAATCTTTACACACAATGATCCAGAGACTGTTTAGACGGTCTGAAAATTGCCAAATATAGTCTTAAACAGTAACTAAACGTACAGAATGTTTCGTTTACACGCACCAGCACAAACTGCATATAAAAGCATTAGCCTTTCACAACATCACTACTCTTGAGTACTTATTTTAAAGGGCTACTTTTTACTCATACTTTGAGTAATGTTTACAACAGATACTTTTACACTACCTGAACTACATTTTTTGTGAAGCTACTTATACCTGAATATTTTTTTTAATATAGCTTTGAAACATTACATAAAGTAATAGTACAACAATTCAGATATATGCTATATCCAAAAACATTACTATAGTTATAATAGCAACAACCAGAAATGATAATGAAGCAAAAACATAACAGGAGAAAAAAAAAATACACAATTAAAAAATAATAACTTATACCTGAATATGATTTCAACCACTGGCAATTTATTACACAGTATGCGCTTACCTGTAATATTCTGCATCACCAGTAGAGGTCTCAAGAGTCCTGATATTCTAATATAAGTTTATAACAAGACAGAAACTGTAAAACCTCAATGTGACAATGATAACCATCTCTTTAGACAATACTTACTCATTTAGAACAATATAACCATCAATGCAAAGACAAAAAAGTGCACATTCCCCTACTCCTTCAATAAGGAACATTTCCAGGAATGTTTAAAAACCAAAAGAAAGCGGAATTTGCTGTCAGAAATGTACAAAAAGATGAACTGGCCAGCTGCTGCCTTCATTAAAGTAAATGCAACTAATGAAGCGTGTTACTAAGCGTTTGCTCGTCTTCTCTTCAGATGTGAGTGTCTAGCACTGTACAGTGAACAGTCTGTTGAGGTCAGGCATGTTCTGCTGCGGGTTCAGAAGTCACCAATCGCCTTGACAATGTGCCTGTTGTTATCGCTCGGTCTATATGCATCAATGAGGGGATTAAGCAGTTGAGATGGCACGAGTACAATAATGCTCTTCTCTGTGAACAAGAAACCCATGCAAGAACCCCTGCGGATGACGACCCGCTATAAAACTGTCTGACTAGACTCTCTGTGTGATACCTGCAGAATTATCACCAGCCGAATTAGCATAGCTCCAACCTACTTGGCTATATGTCCTGAAGGAAGTTTATTGGACATTTAAATGAAGAATTTTTCGATCTGGCGAATGTTTTTGACAGCAAAACGTGTATTTATAACTCATTTTACAGTCCTTGCAATATATTATATGCTATGATAGATTGTATTTATTTACCCAATGCTAGTATTGGATTGGACTCCCATTTGCCTTTAGATTTGCATAGAATCTACATTGTAGAGATTTTGCTCCAAATTGAAATGAGAGAATGAGCATCACACCTTTGCTGCAGGTTTGCGGGCTACACATCTATGAAGTAAATCACCACTTCACTCTCGTTATGCTAAAAGAAGTCATTACTGGTCAGATGGACATGGTCAGCAATAATACTTCTTGTAATTTGCTATGTGGCCTAAAGTGTGGCAAGAGATTTCAACCACAACATTACACCACCACCAGTAGCCTTAACCGTAAAATGGATCGATGTTTTCATGTTGCTTATGCCAATCTTAACCTGCAACTGTTGAAATGAAGATTTATCAGAGCAGGCAACCTTTTTCTAATCTACTGTTTGTTTTTGAGCCAGTGGAAACTATAGCCTTAATTAATTTGCTGTTGTTAGGAGTGTCACCAGTGTCTTCTGCTGCTGTAGCTCATCTGCTTCAAGGTTTAAAACCAGGTGAGTGCATCACAGCAAGTTTCACTTTCATTACAACCAATCAGTATAGTTAGGATGGTGCCAAGTACTGTACAATAGCAGCTAAATATTTTTAAATTAAACAAATAAGCATTAAACAAAATTACCCCCCTGTATTCATCAACAGATGTAGCCAAACAGTCAACTTTGCTTATTACTGTAGTGCAGGGGTCACTAATCCTGGTCCTGGAGGGCCGGTGTCCCTGCAGGGTTTAGCTCCATCTTGCCTCAACACACCTGCCTGGATGTTTCAAGTATACCCAGTAAGACCTTGATTAGCTTGTTTAGGTGTGTTTGATTAGGGTTGGAGCTAAAATCTGCAGGACACCGGCCCTCCAGGAATAAGTTTGGTGACCACTGCTGTAGTGTATCATCATATGTTGCAGAAGGTGGTGCAGAAATCCAAATAATGAAGGATCTCAAAGAAGTGTGACTGAACGGCATGGGGCATTTAAAGTTACATTTAACATTGGAAATACTGCAAAGATGTAGTTTTGTGCAAAAGTCAAAGTACATTTGTATGGGTCCTTTTTTATTTTTAATTATAGCAAAAATCATTAGAATATTTAGTCAAGGTATTTTTACATTTTAATAATTGTTTAATATAACGTACACTGCCTGACAAAAGTCTTGTCATTGATCCCAGTTATAAGAGCAACAAATAATAACTTGACTTCTAGTTGACTTCTAGATCATTTAGAAAAGTGGCAGAAGGTAGATTTTTTTGATGAAGCAGCTGTTGCATCCCAGTCATCACAAATACTGCAGAAGACCTAATAGAACCCAGATGAACCCAAGATTCTCATAGAATTCAGTCAAGTTTGGTGAAAGAAAAATCATGGTTTGGGGTTACATTCATTATAGGGGCATGCGAGAGATCTGCAGAGGGTAGATGGCAACATCAACCTAATGTATCAAGACATTTGTGCTGCCCATTGCTTCAAGCTGGTCCCGCATTATTTAATTTATGATTCACCAATCAGACGATTCCTAAGCCACTATACCTAAGTTCCATATAACAGCCATCTTCATTTTTAAGACGACCCCCCCTCCCTTCCACCCCTATTCCTCCTCCTTTCCTAGATGGTTGGCATGGTGGCCCAGTGGTTAGCACTGTTGCCTCACAGGAAGAATGTCACTGGTTATAGTCCTTACCAAGCCAGCTGGCGTTTCTGTGCAAAGTTTACACGTGCTCACATGGGTTTCCCCCGAGTTCCCCGGTTTCCTCCCACCGTCCAGAAACATGCAACCTAAGTTAATTGAGTAATCCAAATCGGCAGTATAGACATGCTCCTAGTAAGTAATTATTGTAATACAATCGTAATTGTAGAAGTATTGTAAGTAGCAATCACTATCTGTTCATTAACTACTAGGGGGTTCTCGAGATCTACCTGAGCTCAAACTCCACTCTCGCCTTGCAAACGAGAGGGAGCCGCGAGCTCGAAGTTCTTATGAGCTCAGGGCTCTCTCCTGGGACAGCATGCCCAACAAGCTTTTATAATCAATCCTCAGCTAAGTGTGAACTCTTGAAATTAACGTTAAGCATATCTGGGTTAAGATTGAGGAGGCATTGAAAATTAATTTAAAAATCATAATGAACTCTTGGGAGTCCTGCAAGACAGCTTTCTTTGCCATCTCCGATAACTTTATTAATAAGTTATTTGGGTCATAGCAGAAATGTTTGGATGCAGTCATCCAAACTCATGGGAGTCATAAACAATAGTCATTATTTTTCCACTGCACCATGACTTTATACTCTACACTTTGCCAAGATTTTGTCTTGGCAAAGTCAGAGCTTACTGTTCTAATTAAATAATTAAAAATCAAGACATGATCGTATTTTAATTCGGTAAAATAAGAGTAATCTAGAGGACTTAGTGTTTCATGTAAGCCTCTTCTGAGAATTCAAGTTATTATTTGTGGTTCCTAAAACTTTGATAAGTGAATTTTGTCAGGTAGTGTACTAACTTTTAATAACATTAAGGTTTCTTATTTGGGGGAATCCTTAGATTGCAGATTTTTAAATAGTTGTTTCTCAGACAAATATTGTCTTGTCCTATGAACATTTAACATTTTCATTTAATAAACAATTAAGTCAATGTTAACTTATTTACAGTAAATCAGAGTGGTTTATTACCATGACTCACAATATAAACACTATTATTTGTTTACAATATATAGAATTTGTGACAATCGGTAAACAACATACATTATTTGTTACAATTTGATCCTGTAACATTAATGCTCTCTCTGATATATAAAAAAATACACCAACCCAATATTATGTAAATATTGTCATTATTCAAGGGTGGGTTTAAAAGTAATCTAAAGTTGTTCCCCTCTTTCAAGATTAGGGTAGAGACGATTGCAACATGAGTTGCATCAAGATTTATTCGTCCATGCAGGATTGACCAGCCTTCAATCTGAAATGAATCAGCCATATGAGGTTTAAAAAAAAATAAAGGGAAAAAATATTTTTTTTACGTTTCTCTTAGTCTAATGTTTTTTTGAAACATTATTGATTGGTATAATTTAACTCACTGTTTTCTTAGCTTTAAATAGGTATCAAGTATCAACTATTAAATCTACCTAGCATATAAAGTTTAATCATAATGTTGCAATGTCCCCACTTCCCCCTACAGGTATTAAAGGTGTCCCTCATGGCCGGTAAAAAGTCGCCCATGATCAGCTGTGAGTCACCGGCTGTTGCGCTGCGTTCTGGAGGGTGGAGAGGCGAAGGGAAGCGCTGCGTTCATGCACTGATTGGTAAATAGCAGCGCTCAATCGGGCCAATCCACATGAGCACATCATAAGTGTATACACAGGGAGTGGCGATCCTGCGTCATTCTCCCAACTTTCCTTCTCACTCCTCTAATCTCGTTTTAGCCTAGTAAATAGTTTATTATCCGTTGACTAAGTGGGAAAATCCAACGGGAAAGGCGCTACTGTGAAGCGGAACTTTTTGATCAAAGGGATTACTCCGCGAGGGAAACACATAGATGTAGCTATTTCATGGATATATATTTTTTTTACTTCAGAATAAACCTTCTTTTTCCCAGAGGAATATAAACCACGAGCTGACCACTCGAGCGCGCTTTTTGTGTATTTTTGGGCATGTCTGAAGGCGCTCCTGACAGACAGAGATCCTTCACTCACGAGTCGAGATGGGACAGCAGGTGCTCGCGCTCTGCGCTCTCCTGTTCCTCTGTGTACCTCAGCCTGTCACTTCACAAACACAAGAAGGTATACAAGCGTTTTGTTTTTGTGTTATTGTTCTGTAAGATCTATGAATAATGCGAATGCATGTATATAAATGTCGTTGTCTCGTTTAACAAATCTTGTTTGAGATGAAATATTAACCAAAATCCGATTTCCTTGCCATGGTCACCGTCTGGGTTTACTCCTTCCCACCTGTTCCCACCTTACAGCCTTTTAACAGAATGTAATATTTACCTGTCTAGTTGACCAATGCCGTAAGACATTTTAAAACCTTTTTAATATTTATGTAGCATTTTGTGAATGGTCGCGCTTTTTAAATCACTTTCAGCTTTTAGTAGCTCTCTTAAAGTGATAGCTAGTTCACACAAAAATGCAAGGTAACTATTTTTTCTCCGACATGTGGTTTTAAACCAGCATGAGTCTCTTTCTTCTGTCACCCGTCGAGATTTACCAATGAAACAGAGGAAAGAAACTCAAAAACGTTTTAAGCAAATGAAGGGTGAGTAAATGACAGAATTTTCTTTTCATTGAACTGACCCTTTAAATAGTCATTTGACTGAGATTTAAAAGCACAAACCTTAACAAAAAAAAGTCATGCTTTTCTTACAAGCAAAAAACAAATCATATTGTAGGTTAATCCATGATAACTTGACTTTGCTTCAGTGGCCATAGATTGACCATGGTTTTTGTTGTATAACTTTGGCTATACAAGCGGTTATCAGTGCACGAAGAAAACAATGTTTACTGCACGTTTATTATAGTAATTAACATGGTTGATTTATTTATGGAAATAAGGAATCTATTGCATGTACTAATTTAAACTTAAGTAGAAATCATCATATATAATCACTTATATATAAAGTTTTGTGACATGGGGCGCAGTGATTAGCACTGTCGCCTCACAACATGAAGGTCGCTGGTTTGAGCTTGGGTCAATTGGCATTTTTGTATAGAGTTTGCATGTTTTCCCAGTGTTTGTGTGGGTTTCCTCTGGGTGTTCCGGTTTCCCCCACAGTCCAAAGACGTGCTGTAGCTGAATTGGGTAAGCTAAAATTGTCTGTAGTGTATGCATGTATGTCCTGGTCCTCCAGGTTGGGGGTTGAGTGTTGGGCTTACAACCCACCTCATAAAAAATAAAAGTAGATGTTACGAAACATCAATATGTTGTGGCTAAAGATCAACTTTGATATAAAAAATGGTTTTAAGAGTAAGTATATATGAAGTTAAGCGTCACAGTGCAGAATACTGCTGTAACTGCATGTCATGTTAGCCCTCTTGACCTTTCCAGACATCACCTCTGATAACAATTGACTTCAGATCAGAGAACATAATTGCACTTGAGAATGGAAAGGGTGTGTGAGTGTAATAAGCCTAAACATGCTTATAAAAATAAAGCTGGCTGGAGTTTTAAATAACTTTTAAGTGAAAAGTTCTTCAAAGAACCATTTTTTTATTTCTTATTTATTCTTATAATCTAAAGAATCATTTCCTACTATTAAAATACTTTCTGAAATGAAAATATTCCTTAAATGTTAACGATCCTATATAGAACCTCAAATAAAAAAAAATTAAGAGTGCATATATAAAAAGGATAAATATATCTAGCACAATGGCTTTAGTACAATTTCAGTAGGATTTTGCTTTAATAACAAAAACTGCCATATAGTGTACAATACAATAAAATAATCAAACATGATGTGCGTTGTTCATTACACTCCACTGACTGCTGCACAGTGGTGAGTCCTGTTTACTTGATATATTGACACTCTTCAAATGATTAAACCAGCCTCAACTTAAACAGCTTTAGGGCACAAAGCTCTTTTTTCCCCCTCACTAACTCTTTTTCCACAGAACGTTAGCTTTAAGCACTGATTCCTGGTATGGCCAATGCCAAATGCTTATTTTTGCCGCCAGCCTCACTGCGTCAGTGAAGTGAACAGAATAAGATGTGGACTATAGTGCCATATCATAAACCACTCTTTAATAACTCCTTTACAATCATGACTCCAAAGTTCAGCGGTAGATACGGAGGTCTGAGTAAGTTAATAATGTAATGAGCATTTCCTTCCGTTGTGAATATATACTGTAGTAGTGGAGGATTTTGAATGTTTGCATCTGCACTGACCTATATTAAAACTCTCCTGATGAGTGGAATTTGCAACGTTAAGAGGTCAATTCAACCAAAAATTCAAATTTGCTCTTAATTCACACACTCTCAAGTTGTAAGTGATGTCAGTAAAATGTTAAATATAATTTTTAGCTTGGTGATTCATAAAATGCAAGCACTTTGAGATACAAAAACTCCTCAGTCTATCATCAGAAGTCTCCAGGGAGGGTGATATGGGCTTAAAACTATACATTGCAATATTTTTCTGTCATTTAATGCGAGGATATCAATGCCAAATATTCATATATACATGCTCGGAGAAAATAAAGTGTTGTATTTTTTTCGAAAAGTATTTTATTGTTCTATTTTTGTATTTATTTATTATTTTATTTTACTAAAAAGTTGTGTTGTGAAGAAATGTAGTATTTGTTTTATTCATACTGGCAGCTGGAGGGCGACCTCACACATAAACTCCACATATACATTACAGAAGTAAACATATCAATATTTTTAACCCTTTCACGTGAACAATCACACTGGTGTGATTAAAACGTTAAAACGCACATTATCATTTATTCGTTTTCCTTCAGCTTAGTACCTTATTTATTAGAGGTCACCTCAGCGTAATAAACCGCCAACTATTTCAGCATATGTTTCACAAAGCGAATGCCCTTTCAGCTGCAACCCAGTACTGGGAAACACACACACTCACGTTCACACATATACAGTATGGCCAATTTAGTTTATTCAGTTCACCTCTAGCGCACCTCTAGCGCATGTCTCTAGCGCATGTCCATACTAATCCCATGCAAACTCCACACAGAAATGCCAACTGACCAAGCTGGGATTTGAACCAGTGACCTTCTTGCTGTAAGGCGACAGTGCTAACCACTGAGCCACCATGCCAACTCAGAACGCACATTGTCAAAAATAGCAATTAATCAGTGTTTTCAAACATATAAAATTATTTTAATGGTTTCAGACATTCAAAGCTACTATCTAAACATAAAATTGAAGTTTGTAAAATACAGGTGGATGTCTATGGAGACGGCAATAATAAATATTTTTAAATATAACAGGATAATTTGCATTTTCATGTAAAATACACATGGTTTATTTTACTATAACATTTTCTCAGTTAAATAACTACTTTCATGTATTTCACAAGAAAATTATGGAGTATGGAATTATGGACTAAACACGGTAATGGTTCGAGCCCCAGCTGGGCCAGTTGGCATTTTTGTGTAGAGTTTGCATGTTTTTCCCATGTTTGCGTAGGTTTCCTCTAGATGCTCCAGTTTCCCCACAGTCCTTAGACATGCGCTATAGGTGAATTGGATGAACTAAACTGACTGTAGTGAAGGATTGTATGTGAATGCGAGAGTGGGCATCCTGTGCATAAAAAATATATATGCTGGAATAGGTGGTGGTTCATTCCGCTGTGGTGACCTCTGATATATAAGGGACTAAGCTGAGGGAAAATGAATGAAATAAAGACACTAGAGGGGCTTTTTACAGAGCAAACACATCAGCTAAATTACTATAGAGTTTTCACAACATATCATCAATCGGCCTTATTGGTCAAGCAAGTAAAATATTTGGCTTATAGCTTTACTTTAACACTGCCCATGCGTATGTTTCCACCTATTAAATTCAGTTTGTCAAAATGATGCACACTTTCCTGCTTAGTAAGTCTTTCTCTATTTATCAGCTTCCCCACAATTTTCTTTCCACAGTTTAGACAGCACACACTGGCAGAACAACGTATTCAGTAGTACTTTTTAATGTTTTATTTATTCATGTTTAGAATAACTCACTAGTACATTAACCATGTAATCCAAGCTGCTGTTTAGATATAAATATTCCCAGTATGGCCTCACATAAGGCTTGACGCAAGTGCAAACTCTCTATATAATTGTAGCTCAGCAAAAAGATGATAGAAATGACAGACGGTTTGTGCTTTATCCTAAAGTTTTGTGAAACTGAAAAAACATTCTTCAACATACAGTTGACTGCAGTTTCTAGGTGAAATGAGCACAACGGTGCATTATGATGATGACAACAACTTTAGTTTTTTTTTACCAAATACGTTTGCCTCACACTATCTACGAATCTCGATATGGACAACCATTCTGGTGTGGCCAGTTCTGTTGCTCACATTCTAAGCTGTTGATGCAGAGCGCTTGGGTTTGAGTCTGCACAGTTCCACAAAAGAGAGAAAAACCAGAGTAAAATAACGTTTTTTAAGTAAACTATTTCTTGTTGTTTTTGAAAACACTATTGGTTGCGTTTAGATCAATGGTTTGGTGGTTGTATGACAAGCCCTGCGTCTCTTAGGCATGTAAAGGAAAGCCTCATTCACGCTACGAGCGACTCGCAGTGGCAAAGCGACCAGCGATTTTAACCGAGAGTAAACGACTTCCAGCAACCTCCGTCTACGCAAGCAACAGCGACCATTGGGGACCAGGTGGGCGTGTCGAGTGATGCGACAAAGTTGAGAAACCTTCAAATTTATTCAAATGAAGATTGGCTTTCTTGAGCGACAGCCAATAGGAACTATAGTAGACCTCACGTGATCAACAGAGAGTGAACGACCTCCGACAACCTCTGTCTACGCAAGGTGTGCTTGTCAAGCGACACAACCAAGTTGAGAATCCTTCAAATTTATTCAAATGAAGAGCGACTTTCTTGATTGACAGCCAATAGGAGCACCAGTAGAGCTCACGTGATCCTTCATCAGCTCGCTCAGAGGGCGCTTGTATTCTCAGTGCTGTAGACCTACACAGACCTGCATTTGCAGGTTTGTGTCGTTCCATCGGTGCTGTGTGAAACCCCCTGTCGCTGATCCATCTTGCAGTGTAAGAGGAACCATGTTGTAATTCTCAAACCATACAATAAGAGTCAGCTATTTGGGTTT